ACATTTCACAGTAGGTTAAGTTTTCGTTTAAGGAAACAATTGGAAGAAAATGGCATCAATAACAAAGTTATCATGATTCTTTCTACTGACACAAATTCCCAGGCGTAAGATAATATTTCAACGGCCCCTTAAGTTATTTCATGGCAGAGCGTAGTAGCCTACATACTGAGTGTATCCTTGTCCGCTCCCCTTGAAGTGATAGCCAGCCGTCTGAGAAGCTTATGCCTCTTGGTGGCCTTAGTCTTCAGGTTCCAGATATGATTTTTGCATGAAAACTGTCTGTCCAGCTCGATCTCGAGGTAGGTCGGGCTTTCAGCTTTCTCAAAGTTGGTCCCTGGAAGTGAGATGGTGAGATTTTGCTTTGCGACTTTGTTGCTTTTTGTTAAGACGGTGTAGATTGTCTTAGTACAATTTGCTTTAAGTTTCCACTTGCAGCAGTTGTTGTCGAATCTATCTAGGTCCTCATTTATAAGCCATGCACTGATGCCAGCTTGTTTGCTTGAAAGCCAGATGGCTAAGTTTGAACTGGCGCACTGCAAGTTTAGGAACTGATTCAAAGTTACAGTTTATTACTATCATCACAATCCTGTTTGTAAAGAGGAAACTGATGGTTAGATGAGCACCAAAGAGCATGGTGCTATGACGTTGTCAAAAGTTGCGGCTACAAGAGCTAAAACATTGTTTGTCGTCTGTTGCTGTCTTTTCCACTTTCCTAAATAATATGAGCTCGAGAAATTTTTTAACACGATCGGACGAAATGAACAAGCTATAGAGCTATAACTAGTTTGGAAACAGGTACCTTGTTTCTCACCAGAGACGAATTTGGACTCCTTTTGGCAAAATGTTCAATTGGAAACCTTCTCTTGGGTGCATATTCGGTTATTCAAATAATATTGATTTGTTTTGTTTTTTGCAGGCCCAAATAAAAGGTGAACAGCTGGGGTACTCCCACATAGACACTAGGCTCCAGATCTACGTCGTTTTGTTGTCAAAATGGACGCTTGCTGCTTGTGTACTCCGTGGAATCTTGCAGTTGCTGCAGCTGTGCTGTGTGTTCTTTACGTGTTGTCCAAACAGTTTGTGTTCAGGAAAGGCAACCCGCCGCCTGGGCCTCGGGGATGGAAGGGTTTTATGGAGATCTTACAAGCGGGCCGTGATGACTCTCTGTACGAGGCAGCTTGGGGATGGGCGGAAAAATATGGAGACATGACATTCTACACTGTGTTAGGTCAACCTATATGCATACTCAACTCGGCGGATATTGTTCGGAGACTCATGGGCTCGGACGAGTACAAACTGCTCACATCTGACCGTGATCTTAATGTGGTGTCCGAATTTGCGTGGTATAACGGAAAGGAGCTTTTTTTCACACCTTATAACTCCCAGACTAGACAGAAGAGAACTTTGTTCCACAAGATGATGGGAATCTATGGGGAAGGTGTGGACAAGTTTGAGAGCGTTGTTGGTAATGAGCTTGACCGCATTTTGGAGGAGATGGATACTGCTAGAGCTACAGGCCAGGATATACCCATATCTCAGATTTTGTCCAGATCTCTGAAGATCATTTTATACGTGCTGGTAAGTAACTGGTAATTGGCTGGGTTTTTTTTAACTTTTTGGAACGGACACAAACGTCCGACCAGCAGCAGACCGAAAACAGCTCATAATAACATGTGTCTCGATGTGGTAGAATCAGACACTCATCAATTTTTGGACATGTGGTGTTATTTGTATCATCTTAAAGCTTGTTCGGTTGTCTTGCTATCAGTGAAATAAATACCCATCTATCTTGAATAGAGATGTCAAAATATTTGAAATTGAACTATGTTGGGTTGCCTGCTTTCAAAGGTAGAATTTGCGAGGAAATGGCCACCAGTCTGGTTATTTCCATCGCTTGATAGTCTGCGGAGACTGAAAACTTACATTTTTTGGTGCTTTTAATAACGTTTTTCAGTAAAATCCACCCAGAAATGTGTTCTTAATTGGACAACAATGTTTTTTTAAGCCAAAAAAAACAAAATTTGATTTAAAAAATTGCCAAACTGGCAGAAAAATACCAGTTTCTTCAATTTCATGATTTTGACGAGCGCCTAATTTCACCACGCTGCCTCACACATTTCACAGTAGGTTAAGTTTTCGTTTAAGGAAACAATTGGAAGAAAATGGCATCAATAACAAAGTTATCATGATTCTTTCTACTGACACAAATGCGCACCCTTCATGAGTTAAACCAAACCTACACCCTCATTATAATTACTCTGATGAGAACAGATTCTCATTATTCAAATGCACGATCAGATTGGATAAGACTTTGTCTGATTAAGGTGTTTTTGTCGTACCTACCTACTACCTACCCATCAAATCATAACTTAGAAAATCAAACACATTTGATGTTAGAAAAATTGGTCAAGGAACGCCAAAATAGTTGCTCTGTGCCTCTTCATGAAGGGGAAAAATGGGCGCTCTCAAGTGTATCAAACCATAATTATCAATTCGAGATTTGATGAAACTTTAGGAAGTGTGCACTAGGTATAAGGTGTAGACTGATGTGTTATAACATATAAATATGTAACTCATCGGTTCTGGGCTTTTAATCTCACGAGAATATGATTGTTTACAGTCTTTTACTATTGATGCTCAATCATTTGCGTTGGAAATCAGAAATGAAACATGCGAGATGCATTATATTAATACATGTACATAATAATATGTATGATTTTTATTTGAAAAGTGTGAACAGAAGCTTTGATCTTACATAATGATTCTCCTTATGTTTCCAAGGCTATTATTACAATATCAAAGCCACCTGTTTGCAAAATTTGAAATCATTACTGTAAAAGACAGCACACTAGTGAAAGTATAGAGCTAGTCCAAGTTATCAAACTGTGTCCATAATGGCCATTAGATTCCTGTTATTTTTACGCTCTGTATTCATTTTCATGCTCGAATTGTGTATTTTAAGTGGACACATTGAAAGTGACAGTATACATCCTTGTTTCACTTACTGTATGTAACTAGAATCTATTGATAAGTTGACCTTTGTAGATGACTTTGCAGCTTGTATCCTTGCAGTTTTATCTGACTAGTTTTCCCAAGATGCCATAATATCTGAGATTTTTTTGTAAGGTGTCCTGATGGATGCTAACAAACAAATGCTTTGAATACTGTCTCGTACTCCTGTATGTTATACTTAATTTATATTTCTATTATTCCTAACTCGTCAGGTCAATGGTGACATCGATCCTGAAAAACTCAGCCTGGATGTCGTGGATACAATGGATCGCTATGACAATGCAGTAAACCGGATGCTTGACATGCAAACTCTCACAGCCCTCACTTTCTTCCCGCCACTTCGCAAGGTCGGCAAATACAAGAAAATTTGCGATGACGTCACTGAGAGCAAAATTGAGGCTGAGAAAATTATGTTTGAAGACCTCAAGGTATGTCCATTAAAAAACTGTTTATGTTTTTTTTTTCCCCTTTCGTGTCCTGATTTGGTGCAGATATGTTATGTAAGTTGTGCCAACATGGTAGAAATTGTTATGCTTCAAGGAAAACGAAACAAGAAAAGGTAAAGTTGTTTGGTTTGGTCTGTGATGATGATGATGATGATGATGATGACGGCAGCAATGATGATGCTGAAATGTTGGGAATGATGTGCAGGTTAATCTTGGTGTTAGTTTATAATTTCTTCATTTTGTGCTCACCATAGATCCCCCAGGCTGTCCTGGAGGACAGGACACAACCCCCATTCCCAACTCCTCGCATAGAGTGATCAGAAATTTGGAAATAAGTCAACATCAGACTCCCTAGCATATAATAAAGATATGCGGAAAAATCACATACATGGGACGCTTCCAAGTGACGACATTGTTAGTGTTTGTTGCACTACTTATATATATCAGAATTTGAAAAGAGTGAGAGGACTTTAGCCAGTAATCGATTTTATGCTAATTTTTCTGCCTAAAGTAAATTTGTGAGGCATCATTGTGAAATTTGGCGCTCGTCAAAATAATGAAATCAACTAAATCATTTTGTTTGGGTTTTTTCTTTCATTTTCTTTTATTTAGGCTGAACACCTTTTATGTTAATTAAAAAACAAATTTCTTTGTAAATTTTGCTGAAAAACATTGAAAGACCTTAAAACTGTCAATTTACAGTTTCCAAAGGCCCTCAGGCTTTGGAAATCACCAAACTTTGGTGGTTATTTTTTGCTAATCTTACCTCTGACATCAGGGACCACCGCTCCCTTCAATCGCAAATATGTCGACTCCTATGAATGCAAGATAGATGAGGGGATTTTTCACCAAAAGCTAGACAAATGAACAAACGAACAAGCTTTAAGACAATCTTAATGACTTCATATGCCCAAAAATTGACGAGCACCTGATTCCACTGTGTTGTAACACATTTTGATCTCTCAAATCTGATCTTATTTGACCTACTACTATGTACACTCAGGGTCCCTCCACTTTCTATGATGCCCGATTTATGTCACGATGACCCCTTTCCAGAAAGACCTAACTTATTTAGAAAAGTATGAGGGTGATGGGTGGAAATTTACATTTACCACTTTTTGTACCATTGTTGCTGACGATGGTAGATGTTTTGTATGCCCCAAATTCTCTGCTCATGTGGTCTTTAAATTAGGTCGACATAACCTAATACTCTTAAACTCAGTGACAACCAGCCTAGACATGAGTCAGTAGGCATTTTGAATACACAATTTTTTAGATTTATTCTACTTCGTCCCGGTATAGCGAGTCCACATAAAACTAAAAGCCTGAAAAAATTTTGTTTATAACTTATGCCGAAAATCACATACACAGGCTGCTTCCAAGTGACGACATTGTTAGTGTTTGTTGCCCTACTTATATTATATTAGAATTTACTTTGAGCCTTGATATTTTAAATATGCGACAATCCTGATTTGTCTGTTTGAGCAGTATATATTTTCAACATAACAGTTTAATGTGAAAGGACAATTTGCCCTGACGCGGGTGGCTTTTTTCTGCTTTTCCTTCTGAGGTTGAAAGTAAACATATTTACTGTACAGTTTTGGAACATGTTGCATTATAGTTTCCCATCAGTCTGATCAGATGATAATTGGAAATTTCCAAAGTTGAAAAACTGCATGCAAACAGGGAGCCATTTATAAAGAGAAAAAGAAAATTACCTTTCTCTTGTACTTTTAAATACAAAGTATGACGATGTGATCATGATGCAAGTCACACTGTACGTCATCACATATTTTGAGGGGGGCTCTCGTGGCCTAGAGGTTAAGGTATTGGCCTCTCATTCAAAGGTCCCGGGTTCGAATCCGGGTAGCGACCGAAAAATTTTCTTCTCTAAATTTGTCTCCTTTCACCTCATTTCCTGCTCTCTAGCAATGTTCTTTCGTCTGCTTTCGTCTCCTCTTTCTGCCCTCACCTCCTTTGCCCCTTCTTCTGGGCTCCTGATTCTTTCTGCAGCCTTTCTACTGCTATTCTTTGGCTTCTTCTTACTGCTGTCTTTCAGCCACACCCCTGATCTTCTGGTAGGAAAGATCTACACCTAGCCTTCTCGGACAAGGGCGAAAAATCTCGGAGGGCCCGTGTGCAAGTTGCGCTCGTTAAAGATCCCTTGGTGGTCTAAAATCGATAAGAGTAGGCTTCGGCCGCCTCCTGGACAAAATTCAAAATTTCCTACCAACTGAAAATATTAGGTGTGTCCTGCGCGCTCATATGACCTTATGCAGTTGCGAGCGTCGTAAAACACTTTACAAAAACAAAAACAAAAACATATTTTGACTCTGTTAAGTGTTTTGGGGGGCACTCTTGGTCTGGAGGTTGTGTCTGCCTCTCATTCAATAGGTCCCGGGTTCGAATCCGTGTAGCGATGGAAAATTTTCTTCTCTAAAATGTTCTCCTTTCACATCCTTTTCTGCTCACTAACAATGTTCTGTCATCTGCGTTTGTCTCCGCTTTCTGCCCCCACCCCCTCACCTCCTTTGCCCCCTCCTGTGGGGCTCCTGACTCTTTCTGCAGCCTTTCTACTGCTACTCCTTGGCTCCTTCTTACTGCTGTCTTTAATCCACACCCCTGATCTTATAGTAGGTAAGATCTAACACCTAGCCTTCTCAGATAAAATCTCAAAAAATCTCGGTGGTCTTGTGTGCAAGTTTTGCACATTAAAGATCCCTTGGTGGTCCAAAATCTATAAGAGTAGGCTTTGGCCACCATCCGGGCAAAATTCAAAATACCTGCCAACTGAAAATGTTTTATGTGTCCCGCACGCTCATATGACCTTATGCAGTTGCAAGTGCCATGAAACACTAACCAAACAATTACCAAAGTGTTTTGAACAAATACTAATAGAAAAACATTACTTAAAAATACTCTGGCCAAAACTGTTTTCAAGAGTATAACTAATACAAATGGATGCTAGGTTACTGTCAACAGCTTGATAAAAACAGATGCAGCAGCAAAAGTTACCCCCCAAAAATATATTTTTGAGTGGGACGAGCTATACATGTTGTGGTAGTAGTTGAGGTAGCAGCAGAAGTATTAGAATTAGTAGTGATAGTAGTAGTGGTAGTAGTAGTGAAATAGTATAGGTTTTTTAACCCTTTGAGCCCTGACCTTCTGATGCTACCATGCCCATCTGTCTGAGCTCTTGAGCAAATATTACTAACATTCATATCTACAGAATCACTTTCCATATATCCCACTCAGGGTAGTCCTCGTCATTACCAGCATCTAATTCAGAAAGATTTTCAAAATAATCTACAACATCCTGTGTAGTAATGCTGTTTTCCATGTGCATTTTGTCCCAGGCTGGCTAGTTTAAAGATAAAGTCTCGCTCACCAGTGTGCCCATGGCTAGGCGTACGGATAGTTTCACTCTACCGGTGGCAGAGGCTCACAGGGTTAACTCCCCTATCAACACTATTAGATTATTTAAGAGGCGGGACATCTGTGTTTAACACGCATCTCGAAAGGACCGAGCCAATGGGAATTACGTGTAAAGTGCCTTTCCCAAGGACACGAAATCGGACCGATAGTTGTAGTAGTTGTCGTAGTCAAAGTAGTAGTAGCAGTAGTAGAATCAGTAGTAGTAGAAGACAACTGATGTTGTATCGGGTTAAGGTAGTGGTGGCATTAGTGCTAGTGATAGGCTTGTTTTGAATTTTTCTGTTGTCTATGAGGTTTTTGGCCAAATATCGTCCATGTCGTGTTTACTCGCTGTAATCTGGATCATAACTCTCCTGCAGTCCACGTACCAAGAGGGCAAAGTGCGGGGTATAGCCGATGCGATACTCCATTTCCAGAGCCAGCCCGGACACGAATGGCTGGACGATGAGAATGTCAAAGGCTTCCTCACCGCTACCTTTTTCGCGGGTCAGTAAACTCCGGACACACCCTTGAATAAAAGAGAAAAAAAAGCAAAACGTGGACAAAAAAACTCATTTCAATTTTTTAAAGAAATGTACTCACATTATTTACCTTTTTTCAACATTTAGAATTTGGACTTGGACAAAGTATAATATTAGAATGAATAAAACCCTTTCCCGGTTGTCATTGGGGGGGGGGGTAGACTGTTATCATTATCAATCCATCCTTCCTGCGTCTTCGCCCAAGGGGTACAACAATTTTTGGCAATTCTTGCGACAGAACTTGATTTGAACTTCTCCTTCCTAAACAGCAAACATCTGTGGAAGGGAGAATGTCCATATACTTCATATTATTGATTACAAAGACCTAATGTAGTCTTCAAACAAACAAAGAAACTCACGTATAGATTTCTGTAGTTGAATTTCTTTAAATGAAATGCTATGATTTTCAATAGTCTATCGTTTTGTTGTATTGATATTTGAAATTGATGTCTTTAGTTTAATGCTTCACCATCTTCAAGACTCAAGAGAATGTTTTCTCGGAATGGCGTTGGTGGCCTAGTGGTTAGGCTCTCGGACTCCCAACCGTAAGGTCGTGGGTTCGAATCCTGTCAAGGGCCCGACGTTGTGTCCTTGGGAAAGGCACTTTACACGAATTTTCCTCACTTCACCCAGGTGGGAATGGGTACCCGGCTATAGACAGCGAAAGATCTTGTCAGTTTGTTAGTGTTTGAGCGCTTAATCGGCTGCTTGCACTGTATGCTTCCCGGGAAGCTGAGAATGTTTCGGAGTGTTCTATGGTCTGCTGGGGTAATAATATAGTGTAAAGCGCATAGAGCCTGCTGCTGAGCGGGGATATGCGCTATACAAATGCTATCTATTATTATTATTATTATTTTAAGATAAAGATGTCAGACATGTTTTAAACATTTTACTTGGAGAGCTGATCTTTCGGTAGATTACAAGATGCAACTTGTTGGATGACAGACTTCACTCATCTGTGACAGGCGCCACCATCTTAAACAGAGTGAATCACCCGGAAGATAATTTTATGACGTAAAAGCAGTTGTGGAAAACTTGGAACAGAATTCTCGAGAATTATGATTATGGGGGTTTCTTAGAATTGGTTTTTAGGAACGCTACTTTTGTACGATACAAATGTATTAGTTGCATAATGCCCAATAGAGAACCGCAAGTCAAGAAATATGAATAAATGCTTTTAACATCATGTAATATGAAGTGATCCCTCTCTTTTCCCCAGCTCACATGACGACACGTGCCAGTTTATTGAACATGGTGCTGACTTTGACCCACCACCCAGAGGTCGCACAACGAATACAGGAGGAGATCGAGTCTGTGCTCGGGGATCGAATACCGCGCGTCGAGGATCGGCTGAGTATGCACTATACGGAAGCTGTGATTCTCGAGAATCTCAGGTTGGTGTGTTGTGGTGTGTGTGTTTGTGTGTGTATGTGTGTGTGTGTGTGCATATGTGTATATATTTTGCTCCTCAGTGCTCCACTTTGAAATACAGTCGGGAGTAAAATAAAGAGATCAATTTAGAACGGAACTCATTTTCTTTCCAGGAACAACAATTTGGAAATGTGTAAATCAAATCCCGTTGTTTTATTGCAAAAAGAATCCACAAAATTAAGGAAATGATGTTTTACCCGTGTTTTGCATGACACGGTTTACCGCTACTGCCACCACCACCCCCACCACCCACCCCGCTTTCCTAAAAAAAAAAAGAGAAAAAGAACAAAGAAAGAAATACACATAAAATCACAAAAAACAACCCTAACATCCTCAGATATGTCAGCCAGCTCGCCCTCAGTAGCCTACGCAGTGCCCGCGAGGACATCCACATTGATGATCAGGTCATCCCAAAAGGCACACAGGTAAGTGATAAGAGAAGACGAGCGGACACTTTGATACATATATCACTGCTCTCAAGTATCTTGTTTTCATTGTATTTTGTGAGTCATCGTGGTGAAATCAGGCGCTCGTTAACAAAATGAAACTGAAGAAACAAACATTTTTTCCGTCTCTTTGGTCATTTACATCCATTCAAAAACACTTTTCTGTGTGTATTTTACTTTTTTTGAAAGACGTTGATTAAAGCCTTTAAAAAATGAACATTTGCAATTTCCAAAGACACTCAAGCTGCGGAAGTCACAAATCTTTGGCAGCCATTTTGAAGCTTATTTTACCTCTGGCAACAGTCTGAAATAGAGAAACAAAATGTTGTGCTGAACAAAGATGATCTTGCTAGTAAATGTATTTGTTAGACCACTGAATATATATTGAACGTTAAGCTAAAGTGACATGCATCCTGACTTTTCCTAAAAAAGTGAACAATTAATGAACTCGCACTTTCCGAGCGAAATGGAAAATGCATAATTTTGTCAACTGCTGCATTTTGATCGTATATTTATATGGATGCAACTCCAATACGACTTGTTTGCATTTGCAATTAGAAACTCACCTTTCTCTGAATATTTTCAACTAACTTTTTTACCTTTTCCTTCCTCTGGTATCCTTAGGATTTAGAGGGGAGGGTGCAGATTTCCGTCCTGTGCTAGGTGTGTGGTGTCTGTGAAAGGTAATACGTTATGTTGTTACAGGACCTTTTTAACCCCATCCAGGCAGGTTTTTCTTGGTCTTCCTCTTGATTTGAAGCTGGATTGGTTCGTGGGTGGTTGGCAGGTGCTCTGGTGTGGTTTGCTTCTTATTTCCTATCAAACGTCTATCGTCTTTATCTTTCCTCCTTCTTTTTTGTGCTTGTTACTCTCTTGTAACACCTTTAATCTTCGGCACTTATATGACCTTATTGTGTTGCAAGTGCCATAAAACTCTTACTAAAACTACTTGAAGCCGGATTTTCTCTCAATGTTGTTTGAAAATTATCACTTTCTTTCAGTTCCTGGTGAACCAGTGGTTCTTTCATCATGACCCCAAAATGTGGGACGATCCCTGGACGTTCAAGCCTGAACGATTTTTAGATGAGAGTGGAGTCATACTGCCAGCCAATCATCCAGTGCGCAAAAAGTGAGTTTGAGTGAAACACACATGCACACACACACACACACACACACACACACACACACACACACACACACACACACACACACATACACACACACACACTCACACACTTCTTATTGGCATCAAAATCTACAAAGAAATGATGTTTACTTGTTTACTCAAAGATAAAAATATTCAATTTGAGAATCATTATCCGTTATGTAATCATAGAACTGGCAAATTCGTGCAAAACCAGGCCATCCAAAGAACCAATTTCAAAAGCTAATATCTTAAAAAGTATCTGTGCTATCTAGGACACCTTGTACAAATATAACAGATGAGTTTTCTTAAAAGTGAAAGTTCAGAAATCTTTCACGTGTATTTGTATACCTCCAGTTTTGACCATTTTGCAAAAAATATGAATCTTTGAAAGGTTGGATTAATGGGAGAATCACAAAGATTTTCAAGTTTCCTAATTTCATTAAATGTTACCTAAACAAGTTCATTTGTGTCATGACACAGTGGAATTAAGCACTTGTCAGTTTTAGCTTTAACTCTTTAAACTCTGAGTTTTTTCCACCATTTCCCGGAGTTTTTTCTACAGTCACCTAAATCTGGTGCACTATGTCTCAATATAACCCCAAAAGCTTGCCCCCAACTTCCAAATGGCGGAAACAAAGGCTTAGTCATTACTTTTTAAAAAACTTGGTTCGGGAATAATTCTGAAAAACAAGCAAAAACTAGCAATAAATTAAATGAAACAGTTGTCACTAGTTCCGGACGCTCCCAGCATCTGATGGGGAACAAGGTTATGACCAGAGCGTCCGATGGGGTTTAAAGAGTTAAGGAGTATTCTTTTTTTGCGTTCGATGAGAAAATACCTATCTATCGTGATTAAAATGAAAGTCAAGATAATATTTGCAATTGAAGGAGGTGGGGATTTGCCTGGTGTCAGAGGCAAAATTATTGAGAAACTGGCCACCACAGTTTGGTGAACTTTAAAGCTTGAGTATCGTATCCTTAGAAACTGTAAATTTACATTTTGTCTGCCTTTGATCAACGTTTTTCCGCAAAATTCACACTGAAATTATTTATGTGTTTTTAAATGGACATAAAGGATGTTGAGCCAAAAAAAATCCAATTCGATTAAAATTGCGCAATGTGTATGATTCCATTATTTTGACGAGGGCCTGGTTTCACTTCGATGCTACGTTTTTATCATGGGATAACTGAGCTGGTGGCTATGGCTGTTTGAACAGTATTTCAGTCTTGAAAAGGTTGGGGCGAATCGAAGGATTTAAATATTACAGATAAACTTATCAAAAGAATTCCATTTGAATATGAAAATCATGCTACCCACTATGGAATCTTTGGCAGTTATTTTGTCCTGCAAGTGATAGTTCTTGGTTCGAATGTAAATGGCGGTGTTTTTTTTACCCCTTCTTGTTCGTACTGTCAAAAGAGACATTTTTGGAGGAGGGCACTAACAAGTAGCTCCTGCTTCTAGTTTTTCTTCTCTATTGTTCCAGTTGTTCTGTTTCACTTTTCACTTTCAATAAATGACCCTTATGGTGTTGAGGTACTGAGATATTACTCAAATAAATGGGGAAAAAACGTCCAACATTTTGTTGGTCTAACCATGAACAAAAATCTCTTATTTCGAAATTGCCGTAATCATTTTCAATGGGGAGTTCATTTTCAATGTTTTAAATAGACTCAACAGAATTAGATGAACATTTTTTATGACTCATTTCTACAGGATTCTGCCCTTTGGACATGGTCTCAGAATGTGTCCTGGTGAGACGTTTGCAAGATCCCGTATCTTTCTGTTCATGGTGATGATCCTCCAGAAATTTGACCTCCTTCCTCCGGAGAACGAAACTCTACCATCCTGTGACCCGAGAGAAAACCTGAAGGGGGTCATAAGACAGGCACCACCGTTCAAGTGCAGACTGCGGAATCGCCGAGAAGCTGAGAGCAGTAAAGAGTGACTTCTATTCTTTTCTGACCTATTTACAGTGAGCATTATACTTGCTTGAACCAATTTATGCATACTATAATAATATATAACAAAGGAGTTACCATTAGTGTTTTTACAGAATTTCCAAAGTCTCTTTGTATACATGATATTATCATCATCATCTGGTGCCTTGCCGACTGGCGTGGGCAATCATGAACCTCCACTTCACTCTGTCTTGAGTTGCAGCAATGGTGTCTGTTTTTCTTGCTGCTCCTAGCCATGTTGTCATCTTGTCCAGTATCTTTTCCCTCTGTCTGCCTCTGCCTCTTTTTCCATCAAACTTGCCTTTTGTTTCAGTATTCTGCTATGCTTCTTTCTGCATTGTGTGTTGGAAGAAATTTGCCTGTTGCTTTCTTATATCCTTCATGAGCTGTCTTCTACAATTGGCTTCAACCAAGACTTCTTCATTTGTCATCTTCACATGATATTATACAGATTTTTTAAGTACATATATATATATATATATATATGTACTTTAAAAAAAAAATATATGCCTACCAGTATTTACATAACTGAATATCCGTGCTTTATTTAAAATGATTTTGTGTCGACTTGTGTAATTTGCTAATCTCTGCTCAATCCCTTCGCAATTTACAGCGAGGAATAAGATAAAAATTGTGCCATGAATCTCAAATATAATACGACTTTGGCCGTCCCTTTCAACCCCTCAGCCTTTCGGCATTGCTGGACAAACCCACTTTCGTTTTAGTTTTGGTTCTCTTACAAAGTCTTTATTATAATGCCAGAGGAAGAATCTGGCCGTAATTTTAGAGGTAATTTGTTTGTTGGCCATACTGCCTCTATGTTTGTGTCGGTGTCAAAGTCCAGAAATATGTAACATATGTTTTATTTTGGTATCATAATGATACATGTATTCATAATGTATATTATTGTTCCCATGTGAACCAAGTATGTGGAAGCTGCTGAAAATTAAATCTGAGATTTTGGCAACTATTGTAGTACATGTTTTATTTTTTTAAGACTTTTTACTTTAGGATAAGAAGAATTTAATTTATCTTGAAAATTAAATGGCACTTTTGCTTGATTCAAATGATGTGCTATGCAAAGTGTCAGACATTTAGTTCATGACCATCAAATAACAGGACATAGATCTGCATGAACATAAGATTTTACAAATGCTTTGCAGCCTATTTTCCAAAAAATCAATTTGCTCCACACTTATTGCATTGTAATCTCAAACAACATTATAATGCACGACATAACCCCTTATTTGCTGTCAGTAGATGTATCCTGTATGCAGTTCATCTGCTGAGAAAAGACAGACAGAGTTCTTATTGTTCTATCTATTCAAGACTTTATCATGTAGCCAGGATATTATTTTTATTGACTGATTAAATAACACTTACGTAGGTCAGTTTGGCTTGAAACCATTTGAATATATTTGGCCATACTATCAGTGAACTAGCCACCAGAAGTACACTTCTAACACAGTGCATGGCACCAACGCGTTGACTGTTTAAAAATCTCTCTCCCCACCCACCTTGGTCCGCCAGCAAAATATTTGGTATCGCAAGATATCAGCGGGCTGACCCCAAGTATAAGGCTGGTAGGCACCTGCGAAGTTTTTAAAATGTGATGACTTACCCTCAAGTCTGACAGGCTTTGGGTAAACAAAATTGTATGTCTAAAGGGACCTTGACACACATTGTAGCCTAGCTTCTTTTCCGACAGAAGTGTTATGTTTAAATTTTATGTTAACTTCAGCTGGGTTTGAAATTATTGCTTGTGCGCACACTCACGCACACACAAGCACACACACACACACACACACACACACACACATATACTCACACACACACATACACACACACACACACACACACACAAACACACTCGTGTATGCATCTCTCATTTTATTTTTTGTCTTCGTAAGAAAACTACTAATTAACCAAAATGCTCCTATTTCTATTAAACTGAAAAGAATTTCGAGGGTTTTAATATAATCGTCTATCTTACAAGTAACTCCTCAAGTATCACAAATCACTGAGTCTTATGTGCTTTAGGAAAAGAAAGAGGTACGAGGACGCATTGTTTGTCCATTGTGAATTAGAGAGCAACATCACCAGTGTACTAGCATTGTTTGCCTAGATGTTTATCAGACTCCTCAAAAGGCACTGTCTCTGTGCATTGGGAGACTACTTTACCTTAGAATTACAAAGTTCTATCTGACATATCATTTTGAATTACTAAGACCATGAGGTCAGAAACCAAACGCTTTATCTGCTCTATCAAAATTGTAAGCTTTTTCGAAATTCTTATCAAGATATTAAAAGAATTGCATTCGAAATAGCTTGACATGTTGTGAAACTCAACATCTTTTACGTCAAAAGTTCTCAAAACAAGATACTGAGCAGATAGAACTTTGTAATTCTGGGGTAACGATCGACTAGCTTAGCGAATGTTCATTTGTCATGCGGACCTCGATGAGTCATGGCCTGCTGTCTCTACCGAGCGAGTTCTCGTACACTTGAGCATTTTAACGGCACATGATGTGTTTCGTGACGTACCTGGTGTTGGGCCTTCGTTTTATATATAGTCAAAATTTTTCGGCACTTACAACATAATTAGGTCTAATATGTGCCGAAGATTAGAGGTGGTACAAGAGAGTATCAAACACAAAAAAAAGGAGGAGGAGAGATAAATACAGTATATTTTTTTTCAGCAAAAAGGAGCACTGAGCAGGTACATCACACCAGAGCACCTGCCCACCACCCACATAATTGGTCTTTCTCACTTCTGTGAGTCCGACACACAGTACAGTGGAGTGAACTGGGGTTGATCTACTCTTACACCTAATCTGTGTCACTGCTCATATATGTACACCTTGCTGCTCAAATTGCAGATACTGAAAGAGGTTGATAAGAAATGAGAACCCCCACCCCCACCCCCCCCAAAAAAAAAATCCAAATCCAAAACAAAAGCAAAAACAAAACCCCCCTCCCCCCAAAAAAAATTAATTAAATTGAAACTATAAAACCACCCCCAACATCAACATTAACAACTACAACAGAAACCCCAACAAAAGTAGTACGGTATGATAACGATGGGAAAGGCCAAGTCGAGAACAAGAACGAAGGGACATAAGTCAGGACATAATTCATAGGATTTTGGTCATGAATTGCTTCCATTAACATTATGCACCCTATTGAATTTTACTAATCTCTCAAATTACTTGAAATTACCGAAAATCGACACCGAATCTGCCTGAAATGGGATCTTTTGACCCTGTTGCAACACCCACCGTTTTTACATCAATATTGCAATTGTCAATTGATGTTTATGTCATGAACACTGTTGCTCACACATACATTTAAAAACAAATTGACAAAGAATCAACCTGTTTCTGGCTTACAGTTGGTAATGCCGGAGTTCACACTTGTCATTGATCTAAACCCTTCAGTTTATAGCTTTGACAAGCTGAATGAAACGGGAGACATGAAAATGAATTCCTTTCCTGGGACGGACAATCTTACATGAGTTTCCAGTTCCGTTAGTTTTTTTTGGTCGATCCAGCTTTGTGCACTTTTTATATAATATGTGTCACGACGTAGTGGAATCAGGCGCTCATCATTTTTTAGGCGTATGGAGTTGTTTGTTTCATTTTAAAGCTTGTTTATTTGTCTTACTTTTGGTGAAAAAATAACCTCTGTTGAATTGAAGTCGAGATATAATTTGCGATCGAAGGAGGTGGGAGAAGCTTTTTTTCTGATGTAATATTTTTGAGAAAATGGCTATTGAAGTTTGGGAACTTCTATAGCTTGAGAGCCCCTGAAAACATATTTATATTATTTTTCTGCAATTAACAATATTTTTTCTATAAAAGTCACTTGGAAATGTATTGTCATATTATGGACGTGAACAGTATTTAGTCAAAAAACAAAAATTTGAAGAAAATTGCCTAACCGCAGGAAAAATGCGTGTTTCTTCGATTTCATTATTTTGACGAAGGCCTGATTTCACCTGGTTTAGTAGGTTGTTATGAATCTTATTCTGAGACTGGGTGTGATTTTTACAAATGCAACCCATTACTTTATAAGTGTTTCTTTTTTTGTCCTTCATCAGTGGGAACATTGTTTTAAAAAATTATGTTTTGCTATATTATATTATATATATATTATATATCGCCAGTCTGGTTATATCTCATGTGCCTCAACTGTGTTAAAAATGTATGCTATTTATAACAATTATCCGTGCTCACAAGACTATTTAATTCTATTACTATTATTCACCTTTTTAAAAGTATATTATTCTTGTTCTAATCTATCCTCTGCCATCATGGTCTGAGAAAGCCTATTTGAAAGTTAAAATGTGCTTAATTACTTTTAATTATGATAATTGTGTTCAACTTTTGTCTGTAAACATCATAATATGTACCCTTTTCAACTTTTTTGTTACTTTAAACAAAAAACCAGTTAAGGCAAAGAAATCCCATTATCAGACTTTCAAAATCCATGCATTCAGATTTTTTAGGCCCTTGTAATTAAAAATTGTGAGAAATGAATTCGTGACTTGATTTCTCTTTAATGTCCCTTGGATGTATGATATTATATTTACCGTGTTGTATGCAACAGCTGAGGGAAAAAAAGAAAGTAGTAATATATATATATATAAATCAGAGGCAAAGTAACTCTTTTTGGCTGTATACATAAATCATTTTGATTGAGATCATGGTTTGTGCTCTTAGTCATTTTGGTGGCTGTCAAGTTGTTATAATAATTTAAATGAAATTATCTGCCTATAATTAAATGGTTACCGTACGAAGATTCTATGTTTGTTTGTTTATTTATTAGTTTGTTTGTTTATTTGTTTGTTTATTTGTTTGTTTGATTGTTTTATCAGCTTTCAGTAATTTCATTCATTCCCAGCTGAACGAAATTCTGTTAAATGAATCAATCATTCACTAGGAATCAGTTGAACACATAACAAAATACCTAATACAGAATGAATAAGAAATCAGAGAAAGCAGACATTCGCAATAAATCAAAATTCATTACAAGTAATACAAGACAGAAGAAATCACTCTAAATATACATGTATTTTCTTCCTAAGAAATCAGTATGTCGACCTTATGAATGCAGCTGCGAGCGCCGTTAAACCATACTAAAACAAAACTTAAGAAATAATAATAATAATAATAACTATGCGCTTTACACTATATTATTACCCCAGCAGACCACAGAACACTCCGAAACATTCTCAGCTTCCCGGGAAGCTCAAACACTAACAAACTGACAAGATCTTTCGCTGTCTATAGCCGGGTACCCATTCCCACCTGGGTGAAGTGAGGAAAATTCGTGTAAAGTGCCTTTCCCAAGGACACAAGGCCCCTGACCGGATTCGAACCCACGACCTTACGGTTGCGAGTCCGAGAGACTAACCACTAGGCCACCGACGCCACTTAAAATCAGTCGCTCAACTGCTGCAAGAAAAAGAAAAGCAGTCTGTGAAATGCGTCCTGGTTGTCCAGATAGCAGGCATGTCCAGCACCTTCTATGGGCGCGTACTGAGCACGAGGCAGCTGCATCAGGTTTGTGGTACTTTCTTCTCTTAGTCCTGGTACCTCGTCATTTGTTCCAACAATGACCAACGTGGGAAGCTGAAACAATAAATGTACCAAAGACGGATTATACTGCAAATTACACTTTGGTCATCGTTTGAGGATTGAAAAAAAATTGTTGAAAAAAACTCGCCCTAAAGTAAACTTAAATCTGTATTATACTTTATGATAGCCATAATACGACTTATGCATTTTGTATTTTAAGACAATAGGCCCAGTACAGCACCATAAACAAGGGGAATTTGTTTGTTTGTTTGGAGGGTTGTTTTTGTTTGTTAATTTTTAGCTACAGGCCTAGGCTATAATATACAAATACAATGCAGGTGAAATCGTTTTGGATTCAGAGAGGCAGGACCTTCTTGCAGTTGAGATCTAAACCAGTATCGTAAAGTAACTATCTTTCCATAGTAACTGTTGGTGAGCTTTTGAAATAAAATGTATTGTCATTGTTATAGAAAACGAATGTCTGAGACCAAGTTTTTATGGTGTTCACGATAAGGTTAATCAAGATCAACACATCGGGGATAGAATCCATGTCTATCCTGTAGTTCCCGTGGGATTCAAAAGCCCATTATGAATTGTAACATCTCTCATGTCTTAGTGCTTCTTTTTTTCCAAGAGGGAGGCAAGAGGGGTTTCATTTTTATGTGTTGGTGGGTGCTCTAGTGTGGTTTGCTTCTTCTTTCCTATCAAACATCTATCGTCTTTATCTCTCCTCCTTCTTTTTTGTGTTTGTTACTCTTTTATAACTCCTCTAATCTTCGGCACCTAGATCTATATGACATTATTGTGTTGCAAGAGCCGTAAAAGTCTTACTAAAACTAATTTTTAATTGTTTAATAAATATGTTTTCAATCTTCTTCCCCTCACCTCAGCCTGTTTATAGTTGGCCACAAGTTTGCTGGTTTCGATTGGAGCCACAGGTACATAGCCTCTACTTCTGTCTTGGCAAGACTCGGGCTCTTCAAACAGATAAGGCAAGGAGAAAGTTCCACTCATTGAAGGTGATACAATCACTGGGCGCTGCAGGTCTAGCACTCTCGTCAAACTATGTAAGAATTCGGAGTTCTCTTCTGGTGCAACAGTATTGACACTTTTGCCGTAACCTGGAAGAGAGGATTACCTTATAATATCCTACCTATTATGCAGTGATGATGTGAAACCAAATATGAACAAAACCTGAGTATCACATACATACTTACGAGATTTATACTTTTACATGCATGTCAATCAGACGATGCAAATAATTGTTTGTGAAGAATGATTTACTTTTGCAGCAATATAAACTTGAGGTAGAATATTGATTAATTTCCTATTTAATTTATATTATTCGATTTCCATGATGTAAACTAAGGGAATATCTCATAGAAGAAATTTCCCGAAGACAAGTTTCATCAAGGAACCAGTTTTTTAAACATTGTAGCCGGAAAAGTTGACGGTGGATGACTGTTTTTGAAGATGTAGCAAAAAGTTCTAATGTATTAGGCTACAATAAATATGAAAGTGACATCCAAGACAACAAAACCGAGACAGATCTGGGCCTTTATATTTAACATGTATTTGTGTGTCCAGTTTGCTTGAGAAGAAACCCCGCCTTGGCGATCAGTTAATACATAATGTGTATTATGATATCAACATAACATGATATAGATTATCTAAATTAAAAATTAAATACAAACAAACTGTTGTTCCACACAGGGAAAATAATATTCTAAAAGCCTTTGGTGCTTCTCGACAGCACATATCGTTTTCACGTCAAATAAGAAATGTAATCATTTATTGAAATGCTACAGTCGTTTAGTTGTTGTATCATGGACATTCACCAATTAATATGTATTATTATGTCCAGTACCGATAATGTAACGACCGAAATAAAAACTTGTTAAGTAACTTTGAACGAAAAAGGTTGTTAACAGTAGGCCTACAGCTTCTTGAGTCACAACTAAGCTTGGTTTGAGTCTAATTGTTTGCCAAATTCAGGTTTTAAAACAAAATTCGTTGTTGGATTTTACAAACGCTTGCTCAAAAATACATACATTAATGCCTAATACTGAGAGTGTTTTAGTTTAGTTTAGTATGGGGTTTTACGGCGCTACTGAGAGTGTAACGACTGACAAAACTTACTAAAAGAATTTGAATGACGAAGAAAGAAATTAGCATTATCAAGCAGATGAAAGATGCGAACTGTATACAAGAGTGTTTGAACTAGCCTATAATAAAAAGAGTGGAAGATCTAGTTTTCAAATTCTCAAAGAGTGCATTATAAAGCAGCAGGAGAAAACAAAAAGTCATTACGGCAAAATATCTACCAAAATTATTTTCAAAGCACACCTACCAAAAACAGCAAAATTTACCAAGCTTGAAAGACAGGTACAAAAGCCAATTGACTTGAAACTTCATATCATAGCAACACAAACTGCTCTACATGGATGAGTGGGTTCTCGTGGTCTGGAGGTTAAGGTGTTCACCTCTCATTCAATTTGTCCCGGATTCAAATCCGGATAGCTACGGAAAACTTTCTTCTCTAAAATTTTCTCCTTTCACATCCTTTCATGCTCTTTAACAATGTTTTGTTAAATAATAAAAATAATAAAACAAACTGCTTTCGTCTCCACTTTCTGCCCCCAGCCCCTCATCTCCTTTGCCCCCTCCTCTGGGCTCCTGACTCTTTCTGCTACTCTTTATCTCCTTCTTACTGCTGTCTTTCAGCCACACCTCTGATCTTATGGAAGATAAAATCAAACACCTAGCCTTCTCGGATACGGGCAAACAAAATATCGGAGGTCCGGTGTGCAAGTTGCGCACGTTAAAGATCCTTTGGTGGTACAAAATCAATATGAGTAGCTTCGGCCTCCAACCGGGCAAAATTCAAAATTTCCTCTATCAACTGAAAATGTTTAATATGTCCCGTGCACTCATACTATGACCTTACACAGTTGCGAGCGCCGTAAAACACTTACCAAAAACAAAACAAAAGAAATTACCTGGAAGGTCAACAGCAACAGCTCGGTACCCCCAATTAGCCACATTAGACATAGACTTGATATCCAGCCAGTTCTTGGACGAATACTTCAAGCCATGCAAGAAAAGAATTCCAAATCTGGGTGCAATGTCTTTCTTCACTGTCTCTTCCACATAGATTTCAAGTTCCTTGAGAAAGAAGGAAAAAAGGCACAGTAAAGAATAAAACTTGACAAGAAGCAATACTACTGCTTTGAATCTACGAAGTATAATTCATATTCACAACCGTAACTGTTGGACCTTTATGGTTTTTTAGAAGTACTTAAAGTTTCAAAGAGATCTTTGAACTAGAAGCATTCTAAAATGGGAAGAATACAATCCCGGGGGTACAAAATGACCCCAGGGCATACGGACAGGGTTAAGGAGAGTGCAGCGGCGGGTTATGAGAAATAAAGCACCTACTGCTTCACTTTTTTTTTAAAGAACCAATTCTGTTTTCTGAGGCTGTTACAGGGTTGATGATAACAATTCAGTCCCATCCTCAAGGTTTAACAGTTCAGAAGGTAGTCCATCTTTTGCAAGAGCTTTAATATGCACTTTTCTTTTTCTTTCCACTTCCAGCTGCCCAGTATACCCCTAGTTCATGCAAAGAACTCTATCCTTTCCCCTCCTTTTCTTCGTCTACTGCAGTATTCTACCGTAAAGTCCCACGGGCAGTTGGCTGCATTTACTTTAACCCATAATGTAAAAAGGTTGTTGTTTTTTAATGCCTGGCCTCTTGCCTTTAAGGCAACACGGTTTGACGGAAATACATTTGTAACACTATTTTTTTCTTTCTGATCAAAGGGTTTTTTTTCATCCGTGTCGAGGACTAATTTTGAATCATTGGCCTTTGGGATGATAAGCTCTTTACTTTATGTGACCTTCAAAAGTCAAGTTGACTTAAGTCAGTGCAAAACGTGAACTATAAGACAAGTTCTTCATCCTTATTCAAAACAACGTAGCCCACCAACCAGTCCACCATTAGAATAGAGGTGCCAAAAACTTGAGAAAGAATAAGTGATATCGACCTTACTAATTCAAATATTGACCATAGAGAAGGTCCTTTGACAAGATAAGCAATGATTCTTGTCAGAATAATGAGACCAAGTAACACGTATACTTATTTTGCAAATAGTATGATATGAGAAAGAATAGTGATATTGACCTTACTAATGCAAATAACCCTAAACCTAACCCTAACCCTAACCCTAACCCTAACCCTAACCCTAACCCTAACCCTAACCCTAACCATAACCCTAACCATAACCCTAACCCTAACCAGCAATTATTCGATACCTCCAGTGACCGGTTGGTTTCCGATACCTCCAATGCCCGTTCTTTATTCAATATTATCGGCCAGGGTCAGGGTCAGGGTCAGGGTTAGGGGGCGATTGAAGAACGCCCCTACCTATGTGTCAGCCCAGTACGTCCAGAAAACGTAGTCATCACGTTCAAACCCAGTCCATACCACGTGAAGTCACACCAATGACTTTCAGGATTACACGAATATATATAATATTTATATTTCTTTTATGTGTATGTTACTTTCTTGTAACCTATCTATTCTTTGGCACTTATAATATAACCTTACTGTGTTGCAAGTGCTGTAAAACTCTTACTAAAACCAAAACGGACTTTTTAAAATCTATTTACCTTTCCTGAAACGGGAACTTTTACTGTCTTCGATACAGCTGAAAGAGAATTTTCTGCTTCATTATTCAACGCAGGCGGTGCATCCAGCTTAGTGAAATCCAACGTGATCTGCTCTCCAGATGCCATTGTGATCTGATGGTAACAACAAGGCTAGTTAATTACATTACAAATAATTTGTCTCACCTTTCAAATAATTTGTGTTACCTTTCACGGCAACTAGTATACAACAGGTGGAAAGGGGTTTCACCATCATAGTGCATGTAGCCTATGTAGTCAAACATTGGCTTTCTTTTGGGACATCAATATAGACATAAAGGTCTTGAACATCAAGCTCTCACTGGTAAAATCGAAGGCAAACGAGGCAACTAGAGAGTTTTATGTGTTTTTATATTACATGTACTAAGTATATTTCAGTCTCTTGTAAAACCCATTAAAAAAATCTTAACACTCTATTATATCAAGAGCGTTCTAATGTGATTCAAGACGTAGACTAGTCTTTACTAATTTTTTTTTGAGGAGTCATAATATTTTGCCGCTTTCACAGCAACTAGTATGCAACAGATAGAAAGGAGTCCTTCCATACTACATGTAGCCTACCTTTGCTTTGGACAAAGGTATTAACTGATCTAATTATGACTATAATAATGATTTGTCTGTCAATGTCTGACGCTAACAAATGCATGTCTGCAGAAGATTATACTTCTCAAAGAATAATAACACAAATAATGATTAATAACGTAGTTACGAAATTGATATATATATATATATACTATCATGTTATTTAACATAGGCCTATCAATCTTTAAACAAGTCTACACAAAATAGATTGAGATATTCAAACACAATGGTTGTTGTTGAAATTGAACACAAAATAATAATATAACGAGGCAAAACACTTGAAAATGAATGTTATCAACATACAAACTCAAGTGCACGGTATGCAGGGGAAATAGATTGCACCACAACACTTTCGAGCTTTGTTTCAAAATACAGAAGAACAAATTAATGACAAGTGAAGAATAAATAGTGGGCCTAGAGTTTCTCACAAACTGGCCATACTACCTCTACTTCCCTGAGACTTGCAGGCTGCTACTCTGTCCTCAGAAGTCAGAAGTCAGAAAGAGAAGAACACATAATAATATAATCTGTGCCACTTGTTCTGGCGTTAAATTTTAATATGTCATTAGTATTGCTACACATGTCTCTCCTCTCCGATCAACGGGAATAATTAGAATGGAGCCTCATGGTGCAAAAACGTTGGGAAACAAGAGTCAGCACAGCTTGTTCACTGCCGCAATAGATCATTTTGTCTTACGACCAAGAGTGAAGCGCCTACATAATTACATAATCAATGTTTCTACTTACATACTTTAATACTTTTTCATCCTCTGTTGCTGTGAAGCGTCGAGGGAGATGCAGTTTTCTATGGCAGACCGGCTCCACCGAGTCGCTTCACAACAGACGCTGGAATATTTAAAGAGAAACAACCAGAATCTATGAAATGATATTAGTAATTTACTCTTTAACTCCCTTATCAAAACGTTTTTCGATACTATACGTCTGCACACTGGAATACCACCAGTAACAACATTCATAGAGCCTCAAAGAGTCAATAAATGGTTTGGACATCTAATCAGAATGCCCAGAAACAACTAGCGGCTAGAGCTAACAACACCCGAAAATCCGGCTTCGAATCGAGAGGAAGACCAAGAAAGACCTGGTTGGATGGGGTTAAAAAGGTCGTGGAACAACATAATATTAACATATCTATCACAGACGCTACACACCTAGAGCAAGCACAGCACCAAGACCTGCACCTCTCCTCGACATCCTATGGATACCAGAGGAAAGAAAAAGTAAAAGTAAAGTATTAAAACGTTTGTAAAGGTTTTAATGTTATACGCATTTCTAAATCTCCACAATCTAGTCTAATTTCATGGCTAAGTCACTCGCCTGCAAAGCAGAAGGTCCTCCTTGACCCAAATCCCACATGAGACGATATGAAACCAGTCAAACCATTTTATTTTCAGTTTCGATGGGCTTTTATACCTGGGTCACATGAAATCAACGTTTTATTGCGCACTGATGTTGAAATTTGAGAGGTCGTCTCTCAGATAACCTCAATGTGTTGTAAGGAAGGTAAATCCCAACTAACCGTCATTCCAGTTGCACACAATGTTGGCACTATGGATTCTTATTAAATACACTTAACCTTTACGCGTCGCGCGGCTTTCACGGTGTGCATTCCCTTAGAACGCCACCTATTTTATGTGCGCTCTTCCCTGGAAACGCGCGATTTTTGGGATATTTTTAAAGAAATGAATCTCCATTGTTTTATATCATGGACATTTGTATTTTGTTGTAAAATTAAAGTTCAAATCTTTGTCATCATAGACATAATTTTTTGGACTACGTTTACTTTCTTTGATGAAAGTCGTCAACAGTACAAAAGAGAGAGCAGGCGGAAAAAATGGAAACGTTTTCAAAACAAATTTTACAGACCGATACACACACTAAACAGTTCAGTGGTATTTCTTCAATGGTCTTAACGCCTGTTCAGACAGGCGTGATCCATGATAAATATAATTCAACTGAAATTATAAGAAAATTCAACTTAACAAGTGAAAATGTGCTGCTGTGAGCAGCTTTGTGAACAGCTCAATATACTCAAGAATCGGTTGAGTCAGCTGCTTCTTTCGGTTCAGTTTTGAGTTGAACACCTCAAAGCAGCCAGGGTAGAGTGCAACTTTGCAGTTTGAGCCCTAGTGCAATGTCATTTTCTTTTGGCATTTTCTATTCACTGCTGACATCCCAGCTCTGCACGCCTTTCCAGTGCTCATTTTCTACTGCCGCCTAAAGGTTTTGTATCCGTGGTGTTGTTTTCAGCTTACTGACACTCTTTGAGAACCTGCCTCTCCCACTCTCATAGTTAAGAATATTACAAACTAATAGTGTCAGATTTACTGGACTAATTAACCTCATCCACCATCATGAGGATCAGTTCCTTGAAAACATTGACCTTTCGTTCCTGCTGCTTTTAGGGTGTTTTCTAGAGAAATAGTCTAGATGTTACCGAGTGGTTCCAACACTTCATCAACTTTTGCCTGAATGTAAAGAATGCGGGTTCTCGTAGTCCAGAGGTAGGGTGTTCGCCTCTCATTCCATAGGTCCTGGGTTCGAAACCTGACAGTGAAGGAAAATGTTCTTCTCTGAAAAACATTTCTCCTTTCACCTCATTTCCTGCTCTCTGATCATGTTCTGTCGTCTGCTTTCACCATCATTGTCTGCCCCCGTCCTCTACTCTATCCCTTTGCCCCCTCCTCTAGGCTCCTGACTCTTTCTGCGACCTTTCTACTGCTACTCCTTCTCTCGTTCTTACTGCTGTCTTTCAGGCACACCCCTGATCTCAGAGTATGTAAGATCAAACACCTAGCCTTCTCGGATAAGGACGACAAATCTCGGAGGTCTCGTGGGCAAGTTGCGCAAGTTCAAGATTCATATTTGGTCCTAAAATCGATAAGAGCAGGCTTTGGCCGCAACCTGGGCAGGGTTCAAGGTTAACTCCTTCCAAACTGAAAATGCTTAATATCTCTCATTGAGTTGCTAGGGATTGCCAAGGGGAAAAAATGTAACGGACAACACCATCAATGCCCTACAAACGTTTCTGTCTCGTCTAACCAAAAACTAAATCGAGGGGGCAAAGGAAAAAAGTGTAATGTCATTTTCTGACTTTAGAGAAAAACCGATTTTAAAGTTTGACTTTCTCATTTCTTCCATAGTACACTGTATTTTTAAACATGGTATACCTGGTGACTCTCCCCTTTTTTCCAGCCAGATTTGTATGTGGACATGTCATTATGAGATATCCACTAATTCTCTTCTAGATTGTTCATGAATAATAGGTACAGTAAGTTTGAAATAAGACACACAATATTATATACAGTGTAAATGAAATACATAAGCATACACACAAACACAAACAGACACACACATACACACATACACAACATATACACATACATACCCACATCCATACATGACATCCATACATGACATACATACACACACTCGTACACACAAACAAACAAACACACACACACACATACATACACACACACACACACAGCTTTCGTCTCCACTTTTGGCCCCCACCCATTCATCCCTCTCCTCTGGGCTCCTGGCTCTTTCTGCACCCTTTCTACTGTTTCTCCTTGGCTCCTTACTGCTGTCTTTCAGCCACACCCCTGATCTTATGGTAGAAAAAATCTACACCTAGCCTTCTCGAATAAGGGCAAAAAATCTCGAAGGTCCCGTGTTCAAATTGCTCATGTTAAAGATCCTTGGGTGGTCCAAAATCGATAAGAGTAGGCTTCGGCCGCTACCCGGGCAAAATTCAAACTTTTCTACCCACTGAAAATATTTAATGAGTCTCGCGCGTTCATATTATTATGACCGTATGCAATTGCAGGCGCCGTAAAACACTTGCCAAAAAATACATACATACACACGCGTGTACATACATACATATACACACATATATACACACACACGCACACACATACACACACACAGACACACAAACAAACACACACACACACACACACACACACACACACACATTACTACTATTATCAAGCAATACATCTTTTGTCAAAATGAGCTGAAGGTGCTACCATGAAAAGTAAACGCTCAGATACACGACTATGTAAATTGCGACAACCCATGTTCATAAGTCTTAAGGAAACAATAATTGGAGGTGTACAGAAACAATTAAAAAAAACACAAGCCCAGCTTTGTCTTGTTTTACACGCACAACCAGCAATGGTTGTCTCCTCGACCAGGGGAGATTCTCGCTCAACTCACTGAGAGGGTAGAAATAAAAGCAATCTGTAGCAGATCAAAATTTTAAAAAGAAGGAACAAAGCTTTGGGACCCCCCCCCCCCAAAAAAAAAAA